GGGGGGCTGGATATGCGTATTTTACGAATTATTCGTTTATGTTTGTGGCTTACATGTATTCATGCCCCCTTTTTTTTGGATAAAAAGTTGGTGGAACACGTGATATTTTTATTCTTTTTTGAGGAACACGAAAGTACAATTCGATAACGCACGTTACTCGTTGTTCCTTTTTCATCTTAGGTTTGTGCTCATATTCTACCCGTGATTCATAGTTATTGTTGGAACAGTGTACAAACGAGTTGAGCAATAAACAAAACACAGAAATACAGGAGCTTCTCTTGTTGCTACATTTACTCTTAACGTAATAACAAAACAAAACAAGCCATAAAATTTTCATACGATGTAACTTCGATACAAGTGTAGTCCCGATGTTACCCTGATATCTCCCCCCATACTTCCATAGTCAGTTGTTCGCAAAGTAGGCGCCTTTTCGCAGAGGGCGCCACCGTGATTTTGAGAACGCCGCCGTGATTTTGAGGACGCTTTTTTAATAGGCTCAAAGAGAGGAGTGAACCATCTTGTACTGACTTGTAGCGTACGATCTTTGTCATAGTAGAGGTCACGATCTGTTTATAGGACGATAAAAAGTCCAAGAAAATACAAGCACTCACAGCAGTCTCGAGATTATTAGGAGTTAGTTCCCCTTACCCTTTTTAGGTAGACTCGACCAGTCTAATTGTCGGCCTACATAAACAGTGCTTGTGACTGCTTATGAAAGTGGCCCGCAAGGGGCGGACTGGGTATTTGTGTGGCAGTGAAACAGTTTTGAGTGTTGTAAACACAATACCTTCACCACTTCGGGGTAGATTGCACCAGCCCTATTTTAAGCTTACATTTTATTAATGCTTACGACTTTTTTATGGGTGGTCCAAAAAGGGTGAACAGGATATTCATGTGGCAATGAAACTGGTTTTAATTTTGCAAACACTGTTCATTGATGATTATGAAAATGTATTTACATCTAAATCTTGCGTTTAGGCCTACGTCATTGGGTAAATTTGACTGAGACGATGTTCCAAAATTAGGAAGGGAAGCAGTAATTATTTGTTAATATAGACGCTTCGCCACTGCCTTACGGCTCTCTCCCACTCTCTCTCTCTCTCTCTCTCTCTCTCTCTCTCTCTCTCTCTCTCTCTCTCTCTCTCCCTTCTCTCTCTATCTCAAACCTTAAACTTCTTCCTCTCCCTCCCCCTCTCTCTCTTTCTCCAACTTTCTCTCTATCTCACCCATTACACTCTTTTCTCTCTCTCCCTCTTTCACTCTCTCTCTCTCTCTCTCTCTCTCTCTCTCTCTCTGTATGTGTGTGTGTGTGTGTGTGTGTGTATGTGTGTGTATGTGTGTGTGTGTGTGTGTGTGTGTGGGTCTCTTTATACATAGATGCAATATATTTCTCATTGAAAAGCTTGATCTTCTCTTCCCGCCAGAATCAACAAGCCCTGCTGGAGACAATGTCCGCCATTAACGCGGAGGCTGACGAGAGTGGGGTTGCTGAGGCGCTGACCACTATGACGCAAGCACAGATAGACATTACTGACCTTGAGGAGGGTCTCAACCAGCTCATCACGACGGAAGAAATGCAAGGTAAGGTTAAGAGAAAGACAGAGGAGGAGAAGGGGGAGGAGGTGAAGGAGGAAGAGGAGGAGGGGGAGAAAGTGGTGGAGGAGGAGGAGATGGTGGAAGAGGAGGAGGAGAAGGTGGTGGAAGAGACGAAGGAGGAGGAGGTGGTAGAAGAAGAGGATGAGGAAGAGCAACATAAGCACCACCAGCAGCAGCAGCAGCAGCAGCAGAAGAGGAGGAAGAAGAAGAAGAAGAAGAAGAAGAAGAAGAAGAAGAAGAAGAAGAAGAAGAAGGAGAAGAAGAAGAAAAAGAAGAAGAAGAAAAAGAAGAAGAAGAAAGAGAAGGAGGAAGAGATAGAGGAGAGGGAGAAAGACGATGATGACGATGAGGAGGAGTGACAAAGATAGAGAGAGGTATACACACAAACACACGCACACTGGCACGCACGCACGCACGCACACACACATACACACACACACGCGCGCGCGTGCACACACACAAACACACACGCAGAAACATAGAATAAAATTGGTGTATCGTTAGTTCAGATAATATGGTGCAACTTTGCAATGCAAACAGGGGAATGACCCTGGTTCTAATTCGAAATGAATAAATAATGGGTTCCCTCGGTTGATCTACTTCTTAAATCATATCCTAAATTTATGCAGTTGCGAGCGCCGTAAAAGACTTACAACCTCCATCCCCCCACACACACACTATACTAAACAATATCACACTGTATTACATCAAAACAAACCATTTCATGCCATACCAGAACGTACCGATCAGAATACTAGCATACCATACTACACTATACTCTACCATTGGTTACCCAAAATTCTTTACTTTCCCTTTGTAATTTCTGTCTGTCCGTCTGGTTCACCTTTCCCCAGCACTGAGTGACCAGTATTGTGTCGATGTGCTTCTACTTTTTTCTTTAAAACCCCCCCAAAGAAACAAAAGTGTAGTATAAAAGACGTATTAAAAGTAACTATTTGTTCTTAACCCCCCCCTCCCGCCCCCAGAAAACATACCAAATCAAAACAAAACCAAAACCCCCCAAAACTGTGTGTGGTTGGCGGGTGCTCTGGTGTGGTTTACTCCTTCTTTCCTATCAATCATCTGTCGTCTTTATCTCCCCTCCTCCTTTTTTTGTGTTTGTTACTCACTTGTAACATCTCTAATCTTTGGCACTTCTATGACCTTATTGTGTTGCAAGTGCCGTAAAACACTTACTAAAGCTAAACTAAAAACCAAAAAACCGAAATACACGAACAGCCATTCATTACAACGACGCTCGCAACATTCATCAGAACCCCCCCCCTAAAAAAACAAACAAACAAAAACAATCCCCCCCCCCAAATAAAATTTTTTTAAAAACCTACAAAAACCCCCCCAACAGTAACCAAACCAACAAACAAA